GAAGAAAAGAAAGGAAGGAGATGCACTAATAATATTTTTAAATCAAGCTTTCAGTATTTTGTTTCATAGAAATTAAAAAAAAAAAAAAATAATTAAAATAATAAGCTGTTAAATAGCGTGATTGTGACTTACCTATTCTGTTAAGATGTTCTTTCATAGATAGGATCACTTTTATAAATTGAGTAAATAAACTCGTATATCATATTAATTACAAAAAGATTTAAACAAAAAAATTAATTAACTTATAATAATAATAATAATAATAATAATAATAATACTTAACTCCGCCTAGTACATTAATCGATATACATATATGTCTAGCATATAAAATTTAAACATCGTCGAGCATCGATGTTTAACAGATTTTAACTTCGCGGTTGTCGTATTATAGTATTACAATATTATAACATTAGAAAAATAGAGAGAAAAGGAGCGAGAAAAAAAGATTCTAACTACGTGTGTTAATAATATAGGAATTTTTTCTTTATCAGAAAACGACAAGTTCGATTTTATCAGAAGAAGTATTGCTCGTCATAATTGATTTATCAGGGAAAGATTAAAATTTTGTAATGAAAATTAACGAGATAATACTTAAAACAATATTTCAAAGGAATGATAATATCAAGTAATCTCAATTATTTATCTCGCTGAAAATCGTCATAATACATTTTATCTTCATGATTTCAAATTCTTTCATTAGCCCGCCAAAACGGTGTCGTATACATACACATTTTTAGATGGAAATGAATTTCCACTTACAATTAAATCTAAATTAAATATGAAAGATTTGATGAAAAGAAAAGAAACTGAAATAATATAATAGAATCACATAGAACCTATCAATAAATGAAGAAACGAGAGAAATCATAAGTTTTTAAATAGGTAATAGTTTATATGTAAGGATGATAAGAATTGAAGCAGATTTGGAAAGCGCGAAAATATGGCGACCAATGAGCGACGAGCTTAAAAGTACCTACCCTTAAAACGCACCACGATACGAAAAATGGCGTCCACTCAACTGTAGGCCTATCGCTCATTGCTTCCTGTCCACGTTCGTTAAAATCACTCAATACACGAGTGAGCATGAATGAAGTTCAAGCAATTGTACAATTGTAATTTTTAACAACGTTCCGAATGCACCTTATCTTCCCCTTTCTTCAGATATTTTTGACATAAAAAGAAAAAAAATACCATGAGAACAAAAATAACCTGGCTTATTCATTTTCCTTATTTCCATGAATATTATGTTTACTCCTGTTCAATATTTTTACGTATTGTATTATCGAAGAATATAATCTTATCTTCGAATCAAGTATACACGATAAGTTTCTAAGAATACTATTTAAGAAAAAAATTGTTATTATTGTAACAGTAGACAGAAATAATACGACATACAAATGGATGATATTGATCGATCGAAATATATTTATATTAAATAATAAACAAATTAAAAGATAACAACGAATTAATATTTTAAATAATAAAATTTTATTAATTATAATAACAACAATATTATATCCAAATAATATCAAATTCACAAGTGGTTGAATGTAAACGCGCCTTAAAATTTTAGTTGAAATTTCTGTCGTTACAATGCGCGTCGTTAGTTTCGTGTGATCTCGGAAGTAGTATAATTCTTTCTATTTGACTAGCTCTTTAGTGCAGGTTCTACTGCATGTGCTGACACCAAGGTGCTCTCGAGTCCCAACAACTGAGAACTGTTTTTATAATTAATATCATCGTGGTGGACTGTTGTTACTCTCGCGGAAACGTTAATCTCTCTCTCTTTCTCTTTCTCTTTCTCTCTCACTTACTTTTATTCTGTTATTATCTTCCCGGCTTTCTCAATATCATCGGTTAAACTACTCAGTGCTTCTTCGCGTCTATCTAAGATCCCGATCCTTGTTGGGTGAGTGTAAAACAGTATAATAATACAAATCCACGTTTAAATAGAGTCCCCTGCACACGCGGGGACAAAGTTCAGTGATATTAATCATTTTACACGAGGGAGATTCTCTAAATTAAGGTAAAATATAAATATAATGAAAGAAATAGAAGTATGCAAGGAAATATTATCTGATATCATCGTTCTCGTTTATTCTACCATTTCCCCCCGTTTCCGACCATCCTTCCCTTCGTCATCTCTTTTTCAACGTCCTCTAACTTCCCCTTACGGGGAACCCGGTTTCTAATTTATCAATAACTACGATCACTTTTATCGTATAATCGATTTATTATTTTAATACTTCTATTTAAATTACATCCATCGCAATAATGTACTCATTTATTTATCCATAAGGATTCATTTGATTTCTAAAATTGTTTATATAGTTTTAGCATATATATACCACATTCGTTTAATTTTCCCCAACGGCGTGCTTTCTGGGGAATTTTTAGTGTAAGCGTTTAATTTACGCGAGAAACGAAGAAAAATCGCCATGCTTGCTTCTGCTTCTGCTGTTGCTGGCTTCTTGTAATACCCACCGGGTAGTCCCTTCCTTCCTCACCTCCTTTTTTCTCTTTGTTCTCGGATCTGACCTTTTTCTTTATTCTATTTTATTTCATTGTTTGAAAGAATTTACCCTTCTCGGACATTCTTTATCTAATTTGTACCTGCTTTTCGTTTCAATATTTTTAGATAATATTATTGTATTCCTCGCATTCTTCCACTTACCTTTTACCCGCCTTTCTTCTTTCTCATGCTCTTTCCGTTTCTCCTCTCCTCCCCTACTTTTTTTCTACTTCTTCTTCTTCTTCTCTTTTATAGCATGGACTCGCAGCAATGAACACACGTTACATTCTTGCTTGAAACTTCATTCCTGTTTCATACCAATAATTAAATACTTTTTCCTACTTTTCACTTTCCTGTAATTCTCATATCTTCAGCTTTAACAAATTCAATTTCATTTCGCATCCATTGAAATAGAGAAAAGAAAAAATAAATATTCAAAGTAGTACTACCCATGGAGTATTTGTGTTTATCTTGCTTCTATTTTAATTTAAGGTACAAGGTTTCTTTTTCTTTTTTTTCCTCTTTTTTTTTTTATTTTTAAATAAATGTTTAGGTTAATCGACTCTTGTAGATAATTATTTTTAGGAAATTATTTTGTTTCTTTTCTTTTTCTCCCTATTTCCTATTCGGTGTTAATTTTGTATTTTTTCTACCTGCATCAGTCTCATGTGATAACTCAAGCAAGACACTTGACTCGATGCACAAGAAAAATTAGAA